CTAAGCTCTCTAATTCTTCTAGTATATTACCGCTAGGCCCCGGTAGTATATTACTATCGTTTTGAGTAGTAATATCTCTAATAGTATTAAGTTCTATAGTCGGTATATCTTATAGTGTATCCGTACTAATAGATTCTTTAGTAATATAAGTAGTACTACTTAAGAATACTCTATCGAGTATCTTAACGTTTCGAGACTAAACTACGCGCCTAGCTTCTAAGTCGTATAGTTTGTATTGTTTAGTACTAAAACCAACTAGTATAGCTCTTCGTACTCTAGATTCTAGCTTTTTCGGCGTCTTGTTCGTATAGTAAGCAATAGAACCGAACGTTCTTATATTACTTAGGTCGGGTTTCTCCTTATATTTTAGCTCGTAAGGCGTTTTAAAACCGAGGGCACTATGCGGTGTCCTAATATAGATATATTCCGCGGTTTCTAAAGCGAATTGCTAAAATCTTTTGCTTAGTCCGGATTGAATTAGTAATGCCTGTACTCTATATAGTAGAGTTCGATTAGGTCTTTCGATTAGGCCGTTTTGTTCCGGAGTATAAGGAGCCGATAGTTCGTGTCTAATACCGGAGTTCTTTAAGAATTTAGTCGTAGGTTTATTAACGAATTCCGTACCGTTATCGGTTTTAAATCTTTTAAGGCTCGGGCGTTGTATATTATTACTAAACTCGTTTTCGGAGTGTAGTTTATAATGTTTAATAGTAGAGAGTACTTCGGTTTTAAAGCGTAAAGTATACGTAGTAATAAAACGACTATAACTATCTAGAAAAGATATAAAGTAACGAAAGCCGTCTATAGAGATAGGTTCTATAGGGCCGCAGTCTCGCAGAGATCTATAGTTACTTTATCTAGATAGCTATTAGCCGGTTTACTTATTTCTCGACTTATAGTCTTAGAGAATTTCGCTTTAAGATATACCTCGCAAGTAAGATTCTTATTACTAGTAAGATCTTCTTTTATAATCGAGGTTCCGGTAGTATTTTCTATTATTTTAGATATAGTAGGATATCCTATATGTCCTAAGCGTATATGTAACTCTCGATAAGGATCCCGATAGACGTAAGCTTCGGGATTTATATCGGTAGTTGTCGCTATAGCGGCTAGTTCTCCGGCTTCTATCGGTATCGTATAAATTAACCGGTATAGGTTCCCGATACGTCGTCCGATAGTAAGGGATCTTACTCGCTTATTATTAACCTCTAATAGGTAGGCTTAACCGTCTTAAAGATGTACTTAGACTCCGGCGGCGTCTAATTTTGCTACGGATACGAGGTTTACTTCGAAATCTAGTATATAAAGGCAATCCTTTAAGATATACGGTTCTTTCGTATCCGTAAGGGTTAATTGTACGTCTCCGTATCCGGGTAATATTATAGTTTCCTTACTACCCTATTTAACGGGTGTATTCCGGGTAGTATAGGTCTTAAAATAAGCCCTTTCGTTTATAATATACGAGGTACAAGCCGAATCTAATAGAAACTGGACGGTTCGATTCGTGTTTTTTACCGATATATCGCGAATATAAGACGTTAGGTTCGTATTCGAGTCCTTAGGTTGTTCGTTAGTAGCCTCGTTACTAGCGTAGAGTACTACTTCTTCGTTTAGGTCTCGGTCGGTATCGAGTATATCTATATCGGGATAGCTTTAATTCCTACTAGATAACTCGATATTATACGCGTCCTTAGTCGTATTTAGGTCCCTCGTATAGTAAGCTTCTTATTCGGTAGCTCCTAAGTCCTTATTCTTAAGGTAGCTTAGTTTTTTCTCTAGGTATTTAATCTAACACTTATTTTCTAAGTGTCCTATACCCGTACGACCTTTTCCGATATAGTAGGTGCATTTTAAATGCGGATTCCTTAATTTGCTAACTCGATTATTACTAATAGGGGCTGCCGGAGTAGTCCGAAAACCGCTATTAGTATAAAGGACCCTAGTAGTTTTATAGGTTTCTAACCGTCGAGATTGGTCTAAGAGGCCGTTTACTATATCGTCTAGGTATAGTATATCTTAGCTATCGTCTCTAGATCGATTCGTAATCGTAGTAATAAAGGTAGAGTAGTTTTCGTCGACTCCGTTTAGTAGTAGCGAAATCGATAGCTTTTCGGGTATAGCTATTCCTCTAGCTTCTAGGGCACTTATAAGCCTAGCATATTCGTTTACGTAGGTCTCTATAGTACTAGCAATAGCTAGGTTATAATTAAATAGCTTGCAGAATAGTTAGTATTCGGCGGCGAATCCCTTCGGAGAGTACCGTTTTTCTAAGATATTCTAAGCTTTAGCCGGCGTCGTAGCGGTTTTTACTTATAATAGAGGCCCGTCTTTAAGGGTTAACCTTAGTATAGAAAGTGCCGATCTTAGGGTTAACTCGTTATTACTAGGATTCTCTTCTAGGGCCCCTTCGTATCCTTTATAAGTTAAGATATTCTTAACTTTTTCGGACTAGATCTCGTAGTTACTACTACCGACTAGCTTATCGGATTCCGGTATAAGTCGGTCGGTTATTTTGACAGATATAGGTTGTCTTTTTCTAATAATTATAGTTTAATCACTAGTTTAATCTATAGCTGTTTATCCTAAACCGTATATTCTTACTTAAGAAGCTATCTTAAGTAGAGTAAGTATAAGGAGTAGGTTAATTCTTTAGATTAAGACTAGTAGCGTAGGTCTTTCTTATAGATTAATAGATTAATCTATCGGTTTTTACTACCTTCGGTAGCTTGAGTTTCCCTTCGAGGGTCTTTTAAAACTACAATAGTTTTAATAGTAACCGTTGTAATTACGAAAGAGTCGTTTGTTTCGATTTTTAATAGTAGTCGGGTATCCGTATTTAGAGTATTTAATTAGTATTGTTCTTGTCCGCCGTTATTGTCTTCGTATAGTAGTATACTCGGGGATTAGTTATATAAGTCGTTTATATATCGATAGTCGTCTAGATTAAAAGTATCCGTTATTAATATATAGTAAGATCGGTAGGGTATTTCGAATAGTAGTCGATAGCGAGTAAGGCTTAGTATCTTAGGTTAAGAGCTAGCCGGGCTTATAACCTATTGAATTGTATAGTAGTAGTATAGGCTGAACTGTATTATGTTCGTTGTGTTCTATCTAAACTAGTAACTATCCTAGGTATATATATATTTAGTCCTTCCTATTATCGAGTATCCTTACTATTGTCGGCTACTCCGATAATAGTATCGGTATATCCGATAGTTCTAGAGGCGCCGTATTACGCCTCGTAATCTTATTTCTTTATATATAAAGGCTGTATATATATAAAGAAGGATATAAGGACAAAGCAGCCCGAAATTATTATTTACTCGCTTTAAGGCTAACAAAGCTTATTTCTAAGATAATGCGACAAACCTAAGGACTAGGCCCGAATCGACCGTACTACCGCTAAGTACCGAAAGTACCTCTTAGCTACTAACGCTACCCCTATAGGCTAACCTTCGAAAAAAGAGTAAGCGCCGTACTAACTATTAGCCTTATATAGCGTAAAACTATCGACATTGTACTAGCTATTATACGCACCTGTCTTATATAGGATATATATAGAGACAACTATAAGACTAAGGTTATACTAGATCTAGGAAATTTAGTTAGTGCCCTTATTAGCTATCGCCTAGCTAAGCAATTAGACCTCCGACAATTGCCTAGAACTAATATACTAACCCTTGCTTAGTTTAATAACGCTCGGCACTTAACCTATAGGGCCTACTATATTCCTATAGTTCTAAAGGACGACCTCGGAAATAAACGCCTACTAGACTTTACTGCCTACGTAGTAGATATAGACAATCTATATAGGGGAGCTACTATTGTTATTAGCAACCCTGTTCTTAAGCACTATACTATAGTTATAGACTTAGGCAGTTAATAATAGCGATTTAGAATCGCTAGGAGAGAGGATATTAAATATATCGATATTAGCGAGTGTCCTAATAATTTTAGAGTCCTGTTTATTAGTAACCTAACCCCCGCCTTAGCTAATCTAACTACCGACCTGCTCGGTAGTAATAACGATAAACCTATGCCCCCTAATAGTATAGACCCTAAATAGCTTAAGCGTATACTAGAACCTATTCGAGAGACCTATATTAATATGTTTAAATACTACTTAGTATCGATATTACCTATATTTAAAGAGACGGATTATAAGATTAATATTATAGAGGGCAAGGAGGTTCCCTTTAGTCCCCTCTACAACCTTAGTAAACGAGAGCTTGCTATATTGCGTAAGTATCTAGAGGAAAACCTAGCTAATAGCCGGATACGGTATAGTAATAGCCCTACTAGCGCCCCTATCCTATTCGTACTAAAGAAGGATAGTAGCCTACGCCTATATATCGACTATCGTAGGCTTAATACTATTACTATTAAAGACCGCTATCTACTCCCTCTTATTAATAAAACCCTCGATCGCCTTTCTAAGGCCTACTTCTATACTATACTAGATATTAAGGATGCGTACTATCGTATTTACATTCGTAACGGCGACGAATAGAAGACGGCCTTCCGCACTCGCTATAGCTATTTCGAGTACTTAGTTATACTATTCGGCTTAGCTAATACTCCTATAATATTCTAGTCCTATATTAATCGGGCCCTTTCGGGCCTATTAGACTATCTCTATATAGTTTACCTAGATAACATCCTAGTTTATATATATTTACTAAATATTATAGAACACTAGGCCGTAGTACGTAAGGTCCTCGACCGCCTACGAGCCTATAAACTATATTGCAAACCTTCTTAATATACCTTTGCTACTAAAGAGGTATTATTCCTTAGCTTCCTTATTTCAACCGAGGGTATTAAGGCTAATCCTAACTAGATTAAAACAATTACTAAATAGCCTATTCCTACGTCTATTAAGGAGCTTTAATTATTCCTAGGTTTTGCTAACTTCTACCGTCGGTTTATTAAGGGTTATTCGAGGCATATAATGCTACTAACTAAACTTACTAAAACTAAGGCCAACCCGTCTAGAGAGTTTAAATAGACTAACAAAACACAAGCCGCTTTTAACAGTCTAAAGTAACGCTTTACTAAAGTCCCCTTATTATACTATTTTGTACTAAGTAAGCAGATCCGTATTAAGACTAACGCTTTATAGTTCGCTATATCGGCTATTATATTATAGCAATTAGATAATAACTATTACTAGCACCCGATTACCTTCTTTTTACGAAAAATAATCGATATAGAGCGTCGCTACGAGACCTACGAGCAAGAGCTCTTAGTAATCGTTAAAGCCTCTAAGTACTAGCGCTACTATCTTAACAGTATATAGCATACTATTTAGGTCTATACAGACTATAACAACCTGCGTAGCATTACTAAGGTTATAAGGGTTATAGGTCGATAGGCTAGATAGGCTATCTACCTCGCCGGGTTCGATTTTAATATATTATATCGGCTAGGTATAAGCAACCCTACTAATAGCCTATCGAGGCGACCTAATTACAATAGCGAGACCTAGTATATTAATTCTTTGTTTCTAACCCTATAGTATAAGATTGCTATAGCCCGTATTATTAATAAGCAAGCGTAGGATAAGCGGACTTCCGGACCCCGCGGCGGTAATAAATACTATAGCGGAGTTGTCGTTCTTCTAGTATATATTAGAAAGGACGTAGATCGCTCGAGCTATAATAACTCGATTAAAGACATTGCTATCTTTAGTAATAGCCTATATAGCGATAGCACTATAGAAGAGATTATAGTTAATCCGGCTGCTAGCACTATTAGATATATATAATACGTACCTCGTTCGATAGCGAGGGTACTATTAAATAACCTTGCAAATAGGGATAGTTAATCGTTTATAGATAAGCTATTACGTACTTAGTAGAGGGACGCCTTTGCTATCGAGCGTATTAATAAGCTTATAAGTAGGCGGGCGACTCGATCTAGTAAGAGTAACAATAATTAGTCGATCGACGACAAAGGTTACTTAAAGTTTAAGGGCAGATATTATATCCCCGCTAAACAATCGATTAGATAAGAGCTTTTAAAAAGGCACTATAATAGTAAGCTCGCTAGTTACTATAGTATAGAGAGGTCGTACGAGCTACTATCGCGTATATACTACTAGCTAAATAGTAAGCGGTATATAAAAGAATATATATAGACCTATATAGTATGCTAGCGTATTAAAGTACTAAAGTACCTACTATTTGGCGAGTTGTCTTTACTTCCTATTCCTAGGAAGCTATTCGTAGAACTTATAATAGATTTTATTATAGGCCTTCCTCCTACTAAGCGTAGGGGCAGTAAGGATGTATATAATACTATCCTTGTTATAGTAGATCGATTTACTAAAGGCGCTCGATACATCCCGGCGTAGAAAGACTAGACTACTATTAATATAGCAGAAGCGCTATAGAGTAATATCTTCTATACCTATTAGAGAACCCCTAAGGGAATAGTATCTAATCGTAGATCGATACTAATATCTTACTATTAGAGCGAAATATACCTATAGCTAAGACTAAATTATCGGCTATTAACAGCCTTCTATCTATAGACTAACGGTTAAACAAAGAGGCAGAATGCTACCCTATAGTAGTACCTACGCAGTTATATTAACGAGAACCCTAATTACTAGGTTAACCTTCTATAACTAGCTAAATTTATATATAATAATAGTATCTACTTATCTACTAAGGTATTACTATATATAGCTATAATAGACTAGAACGCTACTATGCTATAAGACCCCCTACCGCTCGAGGCCGAGCGTAAGGAAAGAGAAGCGCGTTAAGTACTAACACCTAAGACACTAGTAGCTATTAAGAGGGTTTAAAAGATACGGGAAATTTACGCTAAGTTAGCTAACAAACTAGTAAAGGCCTAGGTATATTAGAAGGCCTACTATAACAAACACTATATACTAATAACTTTTAAGCAAGGCGATATAGTTATACTAAGCACTAAGAACCTCCGTATCCGTAAACACCTATTACCTAATAGTAAAACAAGACCTAAGCTCGCACCGAGATACATTAGCCTATTCCGCATTCGAGAAGTTAAGGGCTCTTCCGTATAGGCCTATTAGTTATAGCTTCTACCCTATTATACTATCTATAATACCTTCTATATATCCCTCCTTAAACTATACTACTAGCGCGAAGGCGATAAAGCGCCTACTAAGTTAGAAGAAGTCTTAGCTAATAGTAAAGAACTATAGTCTATAGAGCGTATACTAAAGCATCGGACTAGACAAGGCAAGAAGGAGTACCTCCTAAGATAGTAAGGCTATTTACCTAAACAGGACTCGTAGGAGGCTAAAGACTCTTTTAAGAATATAACTAAGTTGTTAGACGAGTATTAGACTAGTATAAAGGACAAGAAGAAGGCTAAGAGGCTATAATGTTACTATTAGGGCCTAGGATTAATACTACCCCCGAGGTACTATTAGCTAACTAATTAGAGGCAAGCAATTATTAGTAACAAAGGACAATAAGACTATACTACTATAGTAGATATATACCGAGCGTTAACAAACGCGCTATAACTATTAACTAATCGCCTACTCTTTTAAAAAATCTACCTCTTTACTAGCGTACCCTATAAGACCCTCCTCTTAGCGCCTCTTTTATTTCTACGTCCTATCGGAGCTCTAAGACCTAGGCGGTCGGTAGAGGCGGCGCGCGCGCGTAGGCGAATAGTATTAGTAATAATAATAGTAACGATAGCGTTACGCTTATACTAAGGGGCGACATAGCTAGCGTAGCTATATTAGTAATAGTATTATAGAGTGTATTATTAGTCGAAGAAGGAAATCGAAAGCAAAGTAAAGTTAGCGCTAAGACGACTAGCGCCGCTATTGTTAATATTACTTGCTATTATTACTACGCCTATAGATATAACCTTACCTATACTACGAGCCTAAGGTACTTTAATTAAAACTTTAATTAAAACTTTAAGCCGCCTAAAAGATTAAGCGACTAATAGACTAACTAAGGGTAAAAAACTATAGAGCTAAGTTAGCCGAGGTCGATCTTACGGATAATAGGTTACTCCTTAATCTTTCCGACCCTTTAAGCGAGGCAAACCTTAACTATTATACTTATAATAGCCTTTACCTATAGAAACTAGAAGAACTAAGTTTTTTAAAAAGATATAATTAGTTAACACTTAAAGGCTACTAAACCTAACTAATTAGGGCTAGTAAAACTACGATAGTAAATAATAGCCCTTATAATAATAAGAGCAATCCTCGGAACGAATAAACCCTCGGAAGCGGACATTTCTAGGTCTTTTAGAGTAGACACAAAGAACTCGGAACGATATTACTTAGAGCAGAGGCAGGGCTATAATACCTCGTACGTCTACCTATTATAGTAGGGAAGACGTGCCTATATTATAATTAGTCGAGGGCCCTTAATTCTTATAGCTTTATATCCCTTTACTTTATTATATATAAGGATAGCGCAGTTAGAGTTAGACATTATATTAGAAGGTAAGGTTTAATATAGTTATATAATCGGTAGTTATACGTTTAATTTAGCGCGGACTAAGCGGCTTATTAGACCTACTAAGTTAGTAGCAATAGAGGTTAAGACTAGAACAAAGACCGGCTATAGGGGCGCGGCCTTTAGAAGGGAAGCGTATATTAGGACAAAAGAGGTTATACGTAATTGGTATATAACCGGGCTCGAGTAAAGCTAGGGTCTCGATACCTTAGGCAGGGCTTAGCGCTTAGTAGTAGGCTAACTAGCCTACCTTCCTCCTTCTCCTTCTAGTTCTCTATCGAATACTACTCGTACCTACTACTACCCTATCTACCTGCTAGTATAACCCTTCTTATATATTTAGCCTAACGCTTACTTATAATAAGTAACTCCGAACTATTATTAAGTATTACTAGTATCTACTAACTATAGCTTCCGATAGTAACTTAAATATAGATAGTAGGGACGACGGTAAAGGAACAAGTAACTACGGAAAGGTTTATATTATTAGGGATAGAGTAAAGTTCCTTAGGTCGAGGAGGTCCTACTCGACCGATTTATTAGCTAGTAAATCGGATAGCCTTAATAGAAACTAAAACTAAAATAAGATCCGAGGTATTATTACTATCCCCTCTACCTATCTCTTTAACCCTCTTTTCGTTAGTATTATCGATAGTCTCCTAGTTCTTAAAGGTTACCGATTCGTCTTCTACTAACTCTCGAGTACCTAAAAATTTAGGGAGGAACTATAGGGAAGAGATATCGATATAGTCTTCTCGCCCCTATTTCCTTCGAAGGATAGCGAGGTCCTTTATAAAGGTAGTATCGTTAGGGATTCGGCTCTAGAATAGGTTAGTAGGCAAACAGTATACTAGTAGCTCTCCTATAGATACGTTAGACTTAAGGTCTAAGAACTATAAAGCCTAGAAGAGCGCGTTTGCCTTTATATCTAAGCAGTTAGTAGGGCTAGCACTATACTTCTTTATATACCTATTAAAGCGAAAGCTCTTTAGATCGGATAACTTTCGCTTATAGGCCGGTAGGTTAGCTAGACCTAGGGTACTACTAATATCGGTAGTATTATCTTCTATATTAATCTCTAGAGTCTCTAGGACGACTAGACTCTCTATAGGTATAGTACTAGCTCGGGTAGCGCGATCTCTAGCTATCTAGAGAGTCTTAGTTTTAGCAGTCGACTCTCGCTATTACTTAGCCTTATCGGCCGCCTTATTCTTTAGTACCCTAGTAGGGGCTGCCGTACTAGGGCGAGTAGGATTCTACGGGCCCTTACTCTTAGCTTAGGACTAGGTTTAGGACCTCGTAGTAGCGTAGGTACCTACGCTACTCTTAGTAACTACGTAAACGTTAGCGACTACGTCCTAGTCCTAAGAAACAAAGTTAACTTTAACGGCCTTAGTAGTACTATTATTACTTCGCTCCTTAACCTATTTAGCCCTAACCTTCTAAGTTTCTCGTTTAGTAATAGTAGCGAGGGTACTGTTTCTAGTCTCCTTAAACTCGATTTTACCGCTATACTTCTTCTCTAGAAGGTTCTTTAGTTAAGGTAGCTTTAGGGCTCTCCGATCCTATTCGAAATTAATCTTATCGCCGGTATCTATATAGTAGAACCGACTATTTACTTATATAATAAGCTTCCTATTAAGAAGCTCTTTCTAGATAGGATAGAACGATTAGATATACTTAAAACCGCTATATATCTAGCACTTGCCGTCTAAGTTAGAATAGATCTTCCGTATAGCGTAGATATTAACTAAAGGGGCTTTAGGGTAGTTAGGATTAGAAACCTAGTAGACTAGTAGCACCTCCCCTAGTATACTAGTATTAATAACCTCCCTAACTCGCTATAATGCTTTCGTATTAAGGTTAAGCTTAGCTAGGGATTTAGCTAAGTTAGTTACGTCCTAAGAGTATTTAGTAATAGTAGGCGTTACGGTCTTAGGACCGCTTTACGATTTAGGAAGGAACTTAGGTCCCCTATTTTCTATAGTTTCTTTCTTAACCTATACTAGGTTATTCCTATCTTTGCCGTAGATAAACTTTCTCGTATCGGCGGAGCTATCGATATCGGCCTTAATATATACTAAGACCTCTTTATACTTCCTAAAGCTCTTATAATCGGCTTCGCTAAGCTTATAGCGATAGAAGATACGCTAAGCCGTAGGCTATAGTAACCCTTAGAGGAGTAGCCTCGTTCTCTAAGAATTTTCGAGGTCCTTCTAGTCGATACCGTCCGCTAACTTAATAAATTCGCGAATATACTCCTTTAGGTCGTTATCCTTAGTACGCCTTACTAAGTAGAGAGCCTCGAGCTACGCGCGACTACCTTTAATATAACGGCTATCGCGCTTACGATACTTCTTTAGAAACGCCTACTTAAAGGTCTCCTAGTCGGTATTAGACTTATCGTCCTTTTCTAGATAGCTAACTAGAGTTCTAAGGGTTCGGTAAAGCTTAGTAGTAGTAGTCCTCGTAAGGGACCGGATCTTATACTAGTCGGATTCTTTATTAAGCTCGTACTTAACTAAGCTATCCTTAAAACGCTCTATATATACTATAGCGTTCTATCCTTCGAATAGAGGGTTCCTACCGCTTCCTAGCTTAGGCGGGCGACGCCTATTTTAACGGAGAAGCTTAGTTTGCTTCTCTATTATCTTTATAAGGATATTATAGAGTGCCTCTAGCGTAGAGGGTATAGGAGGCTCTCTAATTAGTTAGGCGGCGCTTATATTAACTAGTCGCTACCTAATTTCCTCGTTAATAGGGTTAGGGGCGTTTTCGGATTTAGAAGATTCCGCTAATTCCTAATACTCGTTCTCGCTAGAGCTTATTCGATTATTATTATAAATTAGTTAAAGTAAAATACTATATAAAGGTATTTTTAGTATATTTAATTTGTTTCGATATTACTACGCGAGAAAATAGTATACTAGGCTATTTCTCTTCTTATATTATCCCTAGGATAGTATTAGGATTTAGTCTCTTAGGGGTCGCCTAAATACCTCTAGAAGCTTAATTTTATAAACTTAGTAAACTTAGACGAAAGCTACTCGGAGGAAGGGACTATAATCTCTATTTATACCTAGATCCTAGAAACTAGCTCCTTTACTAACTCTCGTTATCTCTTTTAGCTAGGTAGGGGGGCGGCGACCTTCTTTTCCTAGTAGAAGGCTAAGTACTATCTAAGCGAGGCTACGAATCCGGGAATAAACTATCCGATTAATAGGGGGACTCCCTAGCTATTCGTCCTATAATCTAGATTTTAGAATTTGCTATCTACCGATAGTCTTAGCGGGGCTAAGTAAGGTCGATAGGTAATTAATCTATCTCCTCCTTAGGCGGGCTTATCTCGAGCAAGCGGTACTAAATAGGTCTTCGACCTAGAGCCGAGTCCTTAGAAGCTAGCTATAGTCGTAGACTAGGCCCTAAGCTATAATAGTCCTAAGGGTTTACAGCTTTTCGGGGTTAAAGAGATGCCCTCGTTAAGAGGTTTCTTCGCTTATCGTAATAGCCCCTCGAGATACTTCTATATCGTCTATATCGTAGGCTCTTATCGTACCCTCGCTCCGGTTATAGCTATTCGTATCCTAGGACTATCTTCGATATACCTATACCTATTAGATATAAAGAGATAGCCCTACCTTCGGCTCTAATAAAGGACAGAAACTAATACTACTACTACTACCGGTAGTAATAGTATAGGCAACCGAGGGTAATATAACCTATAATAATATAGGCAGCTATGTTTAGTATAATAGGATAATAAGACAATCGCTTAGGCTAATAACTAGAGCCCTATAATATAGGCATTATAGAAATGTAATATAAATAATATGCTATATAAGGTTAATAATCTATCTATAGTATAGAAGGAGGCCTCTTATAAAGGCTTAAATCCTAGCCTATATATATAGGGCCGGTTACTAGCTAATATTAGGCTATTAATAGTACTAACTAATAGACTACAAAGTAAAGTAGAGCCGTAATAAGGTATATAAGAAGGCAACTCTTCCTCTAATAATCTCTTCCTTTTTAGTAATATAAAAACAACTCTATATAATACCTAGCAGCCGCTTCCCCTCTACTAACTATAACTAAGCTAATTAAGCATACCTTTATCGATTAGTACTAGCAAAAGTATCTAATACGATAGCGACGACTAATTAGGATAAAGGATTTAACCTTACTTCCTATTACGTTATTATCGCCTATATTATTACTTCGAGCGTCACTTCTGCTAACTAATAACAAGTCTGTAGCGATTGTATTAGTACTAGTAATAATAGTATAGTAGTCTTAGCTAAGGGTAGCGTCCTTAGTTTAAGTTACCTATCCTAATTTATTAAATCTATTTAACTAATATATATCTTACTTAATCCTTCGTCTAATTAAATAGACGCTATCTATACGATTAATCTAATAACCGATAGTAATAACATAAAGGGCTTAGTTTAATTAAACTAACTTTACTAAATAGTACGAGTTCTTAAATAAGGCTTAAAAGTATCGGTCTATACTTTAACTATATAGGAAGAAAATAGTTCCTAGTAATAGGGACTATATATAAAGGTATATACGTAGTCTAGATTATATAACGATATCCTTTAGGGTAATCGGGGTATAAAATAAGACTCTCTTATATATAGTATAGATTTAAATTAATTTTTTGCTAGTTTAATAAAGTGCTATATAAGAAGTTAAAAAGATTAATTTTCTTTTGTTTATATATAAAGAAGTATTAACTACCTTGCCTAAAATAGAAGGTATACCCTTTTTATATAAGCTAAGGGGGTATATAACGCGTTAGCTTAGTTATATAATAGGTACGTAATTTCTTAGCTTAAAGAATTTTTATACTATATTTTAGACTATAGAATAGGAAGAATATAGGCAATTAACGAAGCCAATTCAACCGCCGGCAATGCAGTATTACGTAAGTAGTCCACTACGCTATGCGTAATAACTTCCACGTCGACGAAGACGAAAAGAAGCTAGCCGATACCTAAGCCACTAACACTACAGAAGCTGGGGCTCTCGCATCAATACCAGCAAACATGACAACAGTTTGAGGATGATTCTCACTTGCCTTAAGCCCGTCGTCGATGGCACCACGCCCACTACGTACTCAAACCAGAACATCATTTGGAACGATGGCCAACTCTGCTTCCGTGCATTAGCGACTTCGTCCAGCATATGGATATCGGGCATTTTGCGGAACGCGAAAGACAATTTCCAACCGGGAACCAATTTTCAGACCATAGGGGATTGATGCCAGCGATGCGATGCTGGAATAGCAGCTTATGCTGGAATGGCAGCTTCAGCTGGAGAAAAGCAGAGCCTCTTCGTGAAGCGATAGCCCACAAACGATGTACTCCCTAGCCCCTTGAAGCAGGATGGCGATAATAGTTGTCATGTTCCCTCGGGCATTGGCATAGGTATGAGGATCTCTCTGGCATTGAAGACGACCCACTCACACAGGGAGGATACTGTGATTTCATCTCAACACGAGTCACCACAGAAAGAGGTGGAATGCATGCAAGAGGCACATACACGTGCATGGACAACGTCAAGACTCTCAGCCTTGATGAATGGTATATAACTCCTTGCTGCTGCCATTTTCACATCTTGATGCGGGCTTTCTTGCAGAGAGCGCGCCATGCTCAAAGCAGAGCTGAGGGTGGAGGAGCACAATAAGCACGCCATATCCCAGTTCCAAAGCACCAGGAAACGGAACACGATGGGTAGCGACGATGTACTGCGGATGGCCATTCTCAATCGGATGTTATGCACCGGCCTGCGATATCGAGCTTTCCAGTGCTGGAGTCGTGGCGGAACACATAGAGAGGCTTTTCTGGTCCGGATCGGGATTTTGGATGCGTCCGACTCACGCGCTTGATGAGATGTAGCCATGGCTGGTATGCTTGCTCCTGATGCGGCTTCGGAGGCCCAGACACTGATATCTATGGATGGCAAGAGGGTGCTTACACATCATCTTGTTCCTGGACTTTTCCACTGAAGCTGTCAATCAGACCCTTCCTCTGAACGGTCGTGGTTGCAGGGCAAGTTCACGCCGCTGAATGCATTTCGCCGGTGATCATTTCGGCCTGCTAGCTTCCTTCCCACTGGCACGCCGCATTTCACCAGTGGCCTTCAGCGCTCAAGAGATTCATCTCAGCATCGACTTGATCATCAACACAATCCTACATCAACAAACATGATCATGGCTGACAACAGGATCATCTCATTGGTGGCATCCATAGCAGGCATCATCTATAGCACGCTCGTGGACAGCCGCAATCATGCTGCCGCCGAATCGCCAGTAGCATCACTGGAGCCTAAATCTCGAATTGTGGGCTCGGTCGGCAAGTACAAATTCTGCAACCACTTCTATCTGCGGCCTTCGCTTCAACCGCAACCTATCTTCTGCTCGGTATGTGTTGTTCAAACCCGCGCCAGCTAATCATGGCTGACAGGGCCTTCCTTCGTTCCTTGTTAGACCACGGCGAGAAGTTTGCCATTTCACCTCCGCCCGCGACATGCTAATGTCGTCTCCGCCACCCTCCACGCCTCCTCTCCATTCTCCGCCTACGTCAAGACTATGCGTCGCGACAACAACGTGCCTGTCGAGGAAGAGACGATTCTTCCAATGAGACCGGTCGAACGAGGCCGATGACTTCTATGGAGCTCTTCTTGGGATATGGAGGCCAGGCCGTGTGATGAATGAATTCATGCGGGAACATAGTGTTCATCACGCCATCATGCATTGTAGCTTCAGGGCCAGCACGCTACTTTACATCGGTTGAATACGCCTGTGGACTTCCAGATCACACTGGCACGAAGCATCGGACAAAAAGCAGTCACTCCCACAATCATCTCATTTCACGCCCAGATTACCGGCTCGCGGACTTGGCCCATCCTGCGATGGCCATTCTGATGCCCGGGAAAAAAAATTACCTCTCGCTTTTGAGCTCCAGCTCGCCGCCTGTTGAGAATTGAAAAATCATCTCGGGACTCGGAGATCAGCTATATCGAACCAGTCAGCAGACCAAGATACACCAGCAGGAGCACCAGCTACTTCGCATGAGTTAACAGACCGACATGCCCCAGCAGGAGCACATGAAATCAAGAAGGAATCTGATAAAAAGGAGACTACGAGGATGCGGAAGAAGAGGCGGAAATTGGGGATAGATATGGATCGAACGCTAGTGAGCCCTGCAGCTGAGGTGGGATGAGGACGAAGAGTAGATCGGGAAGCCTGTTGGGTTTCGTATGAGCTCGACTCCAAAATCCGACCCATGTTCTGACTGTAAGGCTGGAGCACGAATATGCGGCATTCAGCGCTGATCGGCATGGATACGGCGTCCTCATTGACGAATGCAAGGAGCATGTTACTGAATGTCTTTGGCTGTAGGTTGTTTCATGCTATCTGGCTGACATGTCAATGTGCACCAAGAAGCAGGATTGGTGAGCGAGCATGTTGGGATATTATAGCGTCTGTTCGTCTAGAACCGGGAATGCTTTCAAAGGACGGCGACCCAACTTGCTACCGAACCGGCACAGTCCGAGTCGACAGGCGGTGTCTTGGCCGGGATTACCAGGAATTATCGACACGCGCGGAACTGTTCTGGTTTTGGCATATCTTAGGGACAGTCGGCGAAGTCAAGCAAGACTTGCACTCTGTGCCAGCCAGTCTGCCCGCCTCGAGCGTAAATTCATGAAGCCTTTCTCTCACTTGCTATCCAGATCTGGATTGCCGCCTTGAACCTAGACCTTGATTGCTGGTTGCGATTGGCGATTTTCTAGTTGCATTTGGGGATCAACAATTGCGGCACGATTCAGCAAGTTCATTGATATAGCTCGGCGCTTGGTTGTTCACCTATGATTCCTATCCCCATGTTAATGATAGTTGGGCGGCAGCAGCGTTACTCGTGGAAGAGAATGCAGCTCTGCCTCCCACGTGGCAACTTCATGAAAGTGCACAGCGGAGCAGCTGGACTTGTGTTCTCTCTGTATGCGGCCTGTCTACGGCCGTGAAGCTACTCAGGAATTCCACAAGACACTCCGAGGTGCGCCGACCTGCTGGCTCATTCTAAGACGCTACTTCTGCGTAACGGCAGGTTGGGTAACGGCAACAGTCGCTACTGAAAGGCGCAGGCTTGCGAGTTGCAATTGTTAATGCTCGTCGGTCGTCGATCATGATTCGACCGTAGAGGCAGCGACGACAATTCTCGCTTCTGACTTCTGCATAACAAGCTCTTCAAGCCTAGGAAGCAAGGAATCGATCCGATTGAGCGGCAGACCACGGACCGAGCCTAGTCTCTCCGGGAGGACGAGCATCAGGCACAGTAGCGCTATGATAGGCTCTGCAGGTATAGTGCTAGTGGAGTGCTGGTGCACAGCTGCTGGCACCTCCACCCATCTCTTCTTCTTCTTCCTCTTCCTCTTCCTTATCATCATTATGCTCACATCAATTCGCATTTCTGCTCTTTACTACACTCACTATGCGAACCACACCGCATCTGAGCTTCGCGCTCTCCAGATGTCGACGGCAGCCCGCATTATCGGCCGCGCTCGTGCCTTGGCGCGCTAGATGAGCGCATCTGGAAACACGAACCTGAACTCCATCCACATCGTTAGCTCTTCTGCTCTCGGGCAGTGGAGAGACGCAGCCATCGCCACATCAGACCAGCCATGGCCGACGGTCGAGACGACGACCTTTCCGACAACATCGTCGTCAAGCATGTTCGCCGCAGAACCCCGCCACAACCAGCGCGTCGCAAACAGAACCACCAAACCAGCAATGGCATTGCTGAACGCCTAGCTCAACTACCGAGCTACTCGCCGTCGCATGGAAGAGCCAGTCAAGGCGGTTCTCAAGATGCGCGCAAACAGCGCAGGCACGGCTTGAGGCGGCGCAACCTGCAGACAGCAGAAGATCATGGGCCTGCACATGTGCTTAGAGCATCTGGCGGTGAAGAGGAGGGTGACAATATTCATGTCCACCAGGCTACGGTAGCTGATCAGGATCCCATTCCAACTGCGCCGGATAGCGGAAGCGGGCACAACAAGCAAGAGAAGATGAATTGTGACGGCAGCCAGGACACACAACCAGGTGCTGAGCAGGATGAGCCTGAGTGCGCTTACTGTCTCGAGCCGCTTTCCTCGGCTGAATGCCTCATCTTGCGTGCGTGCAATCATCAGCTGCATCGGGCGTGCTTCGATCTTTTCCCAGGAAACACCGCGACATGCTGTGTATGGTACGCATTATTCATACTGCCGCGCCCAAAGTTGTGTTTCTGGACTGACCAAAAATTTCGTGTTCAGCAACCAGACGAGTGATGAAATCATCATCATCGATTAATATGAGTGCGTGGGAAATTGGCTCGTCCTGCGTCGGAGGGCGAGTAGGGCAACAAGTCTCCCCTTTGCCTCGAGAATGTCAGCGACAGTCGCAACGCTCTCGGAAATTTTTGGCTTCGCCGACCGAAGAGACTCGCACCAAGCAATTGAGGCTCTGCCTACCTACTGCCGCATTGCGTGTAGCTCTATCTTCCGAGCTCCTTCTCACCAGTATGCCAGAAATACGGACGCCAAGCTCTTGTTGATACGAAAAGCGGACGCACCATTCCGAAGAGACTATGTAGACTTGGGTCGGCGTGAAATACATTGCAAAGTCAGCTCACGATTCTCACATGATGCGACAAACTTTTATCCCTTAATCATTCTAATGCCAACATTGCATTCATTCAATCCGAAGAGTCTTCATTGTCGCCTAATGTCTGCACGATAGGAGACATCCAAAGTCTCTTTGCCTTCTAGCTACGACCTTTCCCGAAAGATTATACTAATCTTAATACCTTCTTGCTCTATAGAATGTTTCCGCGGAAGCAAGACCTAGTAATAGGATTTAAGCTACAAACTCTCCTAAGTTATAGAGATAGAACGTAGGCGGAAATTAATACTACGATATAAAGTTACTTAATAAAGAGGATTCTATACTAGAGATATCGGAATATTTTCTCGAGTAATATTAATCTACTTACCTCGAGGTATTATCTTAGCCGATTCGGAGTAGTAGGACTAAATTATTAATTACGTAAAACGCCGCTATCTCTATCTTAGAATAAGCGTAGTCTTTAAAATCTAGGCTCGGCCTTAAAGAACTTAAAGCTATACTTGCTCTACGAAGACTTACTAGAGAATCTCGCTATATCCTATAAATATAAATAAAGGCGATTCTATTTATTTATCTTTAGTGCCTCCTAGCCTAAGGTTATAAAGAGATTAGATATAGGTAAAGCGTAGTCCTAGTCGCCCTATCTTCTATATTAGCGAACCTAAAGCTTAAAGCCTTATTAGGCTAATTACGTACGCTAGGTCTATAAATTAGGCTAGACGCTTTAACGCTAGTAGTTTTCTTAAGTATAGCTATAAAAACTAGTTCTAAAGCTAGTAGTTTTCTAAAGTATACTCGTAAAAACAAGTTCTAAATATCTTACTAGAGACTAAGGAGATATAGTAGTAGAAGGCGGAACTAAAGGACCTATAATATAAGGCGTAAATATTTCTATAACCTATAGAATCTACTTTAGCTTTCTAGGGTAATTAACGAAATAAGATAGGAGTAGTAAGCCGAAAGAATCTTAATAATACTTATAAGGTTAAAGAATCGAGGCTAAGCCTTAGAATATCTACTAGTAAATCCCTAATTAGGCGTACCTCTAGACTCTAAGAATAAATATCCTTTTACTAGATCTCGGAGTATAGACTATATACTAGCTAGCGCTTTAGGCCGCTAATAAGGGTATATACCTAGTTCCTACTCGTATACTAGTATTAGGGCTAAAGAGGCTTTACGTAATTAGTATATAACTAGGCCGAGTAAAGCTAGGGTCTCGATACCCTAGGTAGGGCTTAGCGCTTAGCGATAGGCTAACTTGCCTACCTTCCTCCCTCTTCTTATAGATCCTTATCGAATACTACTATACCTACTACTACTCTATCTACCTACTAATATAACCTATCTTATATAGTATTCGATCTACCCTTTAAGGGTAGTAGCTAGATAGTCCTTATTTTAAGCTTTTAGCGGTATAGCTACGAAAACTACTAATCGAACTATATTACGCCCGAAGAACGGGACCTATACGTACTATTCTACTAAAACAACCGTACTAATTATTAAGCAAGGCCTTCTATACGGCCTATTATACTAAGTTAATCGCACTAGGCTAATACCTACTAATTCCGCTATATTCGTATTATAAGGGCCTATAATATATTATTAGTATTACCCCTTATAATAGCCGGCTTATTACGAAGCAATAATCGCGGCGCCGCTAGTAGCCCTAGCAATAACAACACTAGCAGCACAGAGCCTATTAAGGAACCTATAGTTCTAGGTAATAACCTAGAATTGCCCGTTAACGATATTCTTAATAATATTGTTAATCGACGATATAGCTAACTAGCCTTTAGCCCCTAACTAGTAGGGAGACTTTAAGAAGCTACTTAGAACAGGCTCGCTACCCTACGTTAAGAGTAATAGCTAAAGGATAACCTCCTCGAGCTTCGCCGCCTTTAGGAATCTCCGACAACTACTACTAAACTAATAGTAGGACTTTCCTTGCTATTAGTTTAGAAGAAGAAGGATACTAAGCTTAAGGACTATACCGTATTTAACAGCTCTAGTCGCAAGCAATATAACGATTATATACGCGATTATAAGCTTAACTAGCAGAATGTACTAAGGGCTCTTCTAGATAATTATTTACTAGTCGTCTACACTATATAGTATATTAATAGCGACCTAAAACGCACCTAGGATAACTATTTTAACTCCCTTAACGATTAGACCGCTATTTAGTAGCAAACCTATAAAACTATTATACTAGATACTCTTAGAAACCCTATACTAAGGTAATAGTATACTTAGGATTAGTACCTTCGAGCTAAACAAAAGACTAATTAATCGGCTCGCTTATTTAAGGCCTATTTAAAGACCCTCGAAGATAACCTTCTAGCTAAGACTAATTCTATATAGATCTCCGAGATACGCCTAAAGCTTAGGTAGGAGCTTATCCTCGAACTAGACCGTCGCCGTATATTTAAATAGGCTAAACTAATACGTATTTAATTTATAGTCGAAGTAGAAACAGCTAAACGAGCTATTTAGCTTTAATAACGACTAGAATCGAGGATCTAACTAGCTAGTACTAACCGTAGCAACCGTAGTGCCTACGGAGGAAACTAAGGTTCCTACTAAAACAATAATACTAATAATAGGAATAGTAATAATAACCGTAGAAGAGGCCGTAGCCGGCGGCTATATAGAGGAGGCCGTAATAGGGGCCGTAGAAGGGGCTCGTATCTCTATAATACTAACCGCTCGGCTAATAATAGTAGTAACAATAGCTACGGCAATCTCCTAACCGGATTGAAGTGCTTTAACTATAATAGTACTAGCTATCTGCTAGGCTAATATAACAAACCTAAGGACTAGGCCCGTATTAACCGTACTTCCGCTAAGTATAGGAGGTACCTTTTAGCCGCTAATTCTACCCCTATCGGCCCTTTTAATTAGTCGAAAAAAGAATAAGCGCCGCACTAACTATTAGCCTTATACGGCGTAAAACTATCGATATTATACTAGCTATTATACGCACCTGTCTTATATAGGATACGTAGGGCACTAACTATAGAAGTAGTATTATACTAGATCTAGGCAATTTAGTTAGCGCCCTTATTAACTATCGCCTAGCTAAGCAATTAGACCTTCGACAACTTAATAGGACTAATATACTAATCCTTACTTAGTTTAATAACGCCTAGCACTTAACCTATAGAGCCTACTATATCTATATAGTTCTAAGAGACGGCCTCGGCAATAAGCGGCTACTAGACTTTACTACCTACGTAGTAGATATAGACAACCTTCTATCCGATATTGTTATTAGCAACCCTATTCTTAAGCAATACGCTATAACTATAGATTTAGGCCGCTAATAATAGCGATTTAGAATCGCTAGGAAAGAGGATATTAAATACATTAACGTTAGCGAGTGTCCTAATAATATTAAGGTCCTATATATTAGTAGCCTAATACTAGCCCCCGCTTTAGCTAATCCGACTACCGACCTACTCGGCGGTAATAACGATAAACCTATACCCCCTAATAGTATAGACCCTAATTAACTTGCTCGTATACTATAACCTATCTAAGAAACCTATATTAAGGTATTTAAATACTACCTAGTATCGATATTGCCTATATTTAAAGAGACGGATTATAAGATTAATATTATAGGGGGCAGAGAGGTTCCTTTCGGGCTACTCTACAATCTTAGTAAGCGAGAGCTTGCTATATTACGGAAATACCTAGATAAGAACCTAGCTAATAGTCGAATTTAGTATAGCAATAGCCCTACTAGTATACTAATCCTATTTGTTCTAAAGAAGAATAGTAGCCTACGCCTATATATTAATTACTATAGACTTAATACTATTACTATTAGTCTATTAAGGACCGTTGTCTACTTCCGCTTATTATTAAGACCCTCGATCGCCTATCTAGCGCCTACTTTTATACTATATTAGACATTAAGGATACGTACTATCGTATCCGCATTCGTAAGGGTAATAAATAGATAATAGCCTTCCGTACTCGCTATAGCTATTTTAAGTACTTAGTTATACTATTTAGGCTAGCTAACGCCCCTACTATATTCTAGTCCTATATTAATCGGGCCCTTTCGGGCCTACTAGACTATCTATATATAGTTTACCTAGATAACATCCTAGTTTATATATATTTACCTAATATTACGGAGTACTAGGCTATAGTCCGTAAGGTACTCGATCGCCTAAGAACCTATAGCTTATATTACAAGCCTTCTAAATGTACCTTTACTACTAAAGAGGTAGCCTTCCTTAGCTTCCTCGCATTAACTAATAGTATTAAGGCTAATCCTAATTAGATTAAAACAATTACTAAATAGCCAACCCCTACTAGTATTAAGGAGCTTTAATTATTCCTAGGTTTTGCTAAGTTTTAACGCTAATTTATTAAGGGCTATTCGAGGCATATAATGCTACTAACTAAGCTTACTAAGACTAAGGCCAACCCTTCTAGAGAGTTTAAATAGACTAATAAAACACAAGCCGCTTTTAATAGTCTAAAGCAACGCTTTACTAAAGTCCCCTTATTACACTATTTCGTACTAAGCAAACAGATCCGAATTAAGACTAACGCTTTATAGTTTGCTATATTAGCTATTATATTATAGTAGGCTAATAATACCTATTAGTATCCGATTGCCTTTTTTTACGAAAGATAATCGATATAGAGCGTCGATACGAGACCTACGAGTAAGAGCTCTTAGTAATCGTAGAAGCCTTTAAGTATTAGCGCTACTATCTCGATAGTGCTTAGTATACTATTTAGGTCTATACGGACTATAACAACCTACGTAGTATTACTAAGGTTATAAGGGTTATAGGTCGATAGGCTATATAGGCCGTCTACCTCGCTAGGTTTAATTTTAATATACTATATCCTAGGCGTAAGTAACCCTACTAATAGCCTATCGAGGCGACCTAATTACGATAGCGAGACTTAGTATATTAATTTATTGTTTCTAACCCTATAGTATAAGATTGCTATAGCCCGTATTATTAATAAGCAAACGTAGGATAAGCGGACTTCCGGACCCCGCGGCGGTAACAAATACTATAGCGGAGTTATCGTTCTTCTAGTACGCGTTAGAAAGGACATAGATCGCTCGAGCTATA